CAGACAGCTATATCTGCTAGAAGCGTACCATGAAGAAGAGAATGATGACGTGGAAACCATCGTCCAGAATACGAAACCGCCGGTGGAGTATAAAGTCCAAAAGAAACTTGATTTGTTGTCAAACCTGGATTGTTTACTTAAGAGCACGTTATTCCTAATTATTCTGCCCATTTTACATTGCTTCACTCTGTGTTCTACAATCTCTTAGCACATTAACCAATTATTCCTTTTACTCTCGATCACTGACATATCCTTGTTGTTTCAAGGTCATCCATGTTATACTGTTAGTGTGACACTGCCCAAGTTCCCGCACGCTACCACACACTTTGCAATTTCTACCCTCTCGCACTACGATTACACAGAACCTATTCGTAACTCATGTACTGTATTTAATTTGCCTTATAGTACTGCGGTCACAGGATAATTCGTTTTATTCTTCTAGCCAGACCGGGCATTAAGTCTATGTTTTTACTTGTTCGTAATTTCTAGTGTAGGTTTCGTACGACGTACTTACTTTAGGCTTCGTCTCGTTGGTACACACCCTATGAGGAAGCTGCGCTGATTAATCTATGCCGTGATCCAAACGGAGTCACCGAACTCATTAAGCATCGCCTCAACCAAATTTGAGGTGGGAATTGTTTCCTCGATGACTCACGCAACCTCCTCCCCGACTGTTACATCGGTTGTTAGTGAAGCCAATATATCCGCGGATATGGTAATGGGGTTCTGGCGTCTGGTCAGTAAACCATCTTTCAGTAATTAGAAGGATTTGTGGGTTCGACAAATATGTAGCAAGGCGGAGATAATGCATTTTATTGTTTAGGGAGCAAGCGTTAATGCGAAGAGTGTTTAAAGCCCCGTGCATTTTAGGTAGGCCTGTGAGCTGACGGAATATGGGTAGTTCAAGGGAATTTGAGATGGAGGCGGTACCCATATTAGTGGGAACATCCTTTGACGATCTTTGTATTCGCAGACAAGCAAGCTAGGTGAGTAAAATGAAGTAGGGAATGCATGGTGTTCTGGTGCATCAGAAGTTCTGCTATCGGCGGCAGAGCTGCTGCCGAATAACCTGCACATTTGTGTAGCTTTAGAGATTGCGCTAGATGGGAGTTCGTAGACTTCGGAGAAAGCGATGACTCGGGGTCAGTGTTTGCATTCGTTGCAGGTAGAGCGATATGCTCAACGTATTGCGGGGGATCGACGTACCGGTAAGATATTGGGATATTAGTAAGCTCCAAACTTTGCTGGGGAGGGACTTTCAAGTGAGAGAGAGACCTCCGTGACGCCTGCTGCCTGCATTACGCGAACGGTCATTGTGCAAAATTGCCGTATTACGCGGGACCTTGAAAATATATGCTTTACTTTTGGCTCTCAAATGCGTTCCGAGAATCAGGCCAATCTACCATATCAATCCTTGTATGCGATTCAGTAAGTAGATTGAGTGAACACAACTTATTCCTATCTTTACCAAAGGTGGTGGTCATAAGATTTTTCACTGCATACCTACTATAATTTGATCGCACGTTATCCTTTTGGCTACGATCAAACCTGATTCTTGGTGTGCTGTTTGAATGGTCCATATCGACGTCCAGCAGTTGGAATACCGAGACTGATAAGTCAACGCTATACGCTGGTACCTGAGCGGGATGGTTCCTTCAGCATGGATTATTTATCGCACATGATGCACTACTCCAGACAATGGTCTTGTGCATTTTATTTTGACTTCTTTTAGTAAATTTGTTGCTTTTCGAAGAATGGGAAGGTGTCAAAGGGACATGGTTAGACCTTTCTGCACTGAGGATAGTGGTTTCAACCAGTGCTTTGGTTGGACTATTTACCAAGCTAATGTTGAGAGGAGCTACTCCGTCTCCTTTGACGTCATCTTGGCTGGTATTTTTAAAGTTTGGACTGACTGGACTTCTCGTGCTGCTAATTCGCTCAAGCAAATGTCAGCAGTCGCGGTGGTAGCCATGTCGGAATTTGTGGCTTGACAGCCTTTCGGTTTTGGCAGTGGCGGACTTCTCTTTGCAGGGGCGTTTTGTCAATCGATATCCTTACTGTTTTAAAAGTAGTGTTTTCTGCTATCTGTGCGCATTTTTTGATGATCTCCTTTGCCGTCAATGCGTCGCTAAATTGAGATAATACGGGATAGACTTTACGCTTGACGTTCTTACGGAGCCATGTACATATGCACTGAGCGTCCAATATATACCTGCTTTAAGCAGCATTTTTGCAGTGTTTCTGCCGGCATGTTCTCGGACAAATTGAAAGCCACTGCCTTTTTAGCACATGTTCTACTAAACATTTTTGCTGCAACAGCACCAACGAAGTTACCGGCGGATTTTAAATAATCTGTGTTTGGACTTGCCGTCGTCTGCAGTAGAACAGTCCGAGGTTCCAGCATTTTGAGTGTTGTCGCCAAGTGATCATAAGATGCCAGTTTTATTTTGAGTCCTTCCAACTCCTCTTGGATACATTTGAACTTAGAGAGTGCATCGTTACGTGTATCAACCAGCTTTCCCGAGCGACTTCGCAGTCCAGGTGGCTTATTGGATTTTGGCAACTTTGGGGATTAAGGGGAAACTGATGTTTTTTGTAGACCGTTTAAGAGCATGTGCGTCTACCAGGCAATGTAGGTGACGGTTATGGTATCAGGAAAAAAATATTACAGAAGCACTCTACCGTGCCTAAGTTAAACCGCAAAATTTACAGCATACAAGTGTACAGACTGACCGTTTTGAGTTTCCACTGTCAGGACCTTCCTGATTGGCTGTCCAGTTTTCTCTTGTCTGTGGGTGACGAATTATTATCGATCCGATAAATGCGAGCTAGCTTGTGGGCGCACACAGACACAGTCACTGTGCGAAAGCGAAGGCTAAGCCCCCAACTGCAATTTACACGAACCTGATGACTGCAGTAATGAGTTGTAGCTATATTACTGATCGTCGGATTGTCTTAGAATGTTGGCTGACTTGTAGGCGCGCGGAACAAGCTCTTGAGCGATGTTAAATGTGCACACAAAACTGAGGTAGTATTGTGTGTGAGATCGGCGAAGCTTTTGCCAGAAATGCTGTGGCGAGATAAACAGTGATTTAAGAAGGATAAATCTGTGATCTTGAAACTGTTGAATAGAGCTCGTAAGACCGAGTCGAATGAATGTAGACGCAGCAGTGTACACCGAAATGGTGACAGTAGGGAGCACGATAAATCAGAGCGTTAACACTTTGTTGCTTGCGCACGCGTCGTCATCATGCTTTTGTGGCAAACGCTAAGCAATCGGTCTTGCTCATGTGCCACTGGCTAACCAGAAGAGAAACAAGACAAACTGCTTTCAAAATCAGTGCTGGACCTCTGCTTTATGTTCTCTTTGTTGCTTTCAGTAACTTTCGAAAGCTTGATTTGCAGGCTGTTGAAAAAGTTCAGCGCACCACAAAGCGCATCTTTGGCTATTCACATCATCTCATATTGAAATAGGTGCAACTAGTTGAGTCTGTGTGGTAAAAACGATTGCATTTAACTCTGGGTATCCTTCAAAAAGTAATGTGACGGAAAGCATATATTTGAACTGCCTTTTCGGGATAATACAAATTATGAGATACGTGACAGCGAATGTATAGTCACATTGCTCAGATTAAGAGGTAATCTTTTTAGATACTGTTTCATACGGGACAAGCTGTCTAAATTGATCAGTTGTGCAAAATATTTTGCACATTCAAGAAAATGAATCAGTTGTCTTTCAGTTGACTGCCTGAAAATCTCTATAAAATCTCCAGTTGATGATGCGAACTTATATGAAGGCTGGAAGATATATGAAATCGGTGCATATCGATTGTTACAATGGGTGAAAACGCTACGAACCCAAAGATATTATTAGACGATCTGGGAACTGGCAGCTAAGCGATTTGTCTTCATTGTTCACTCCAACACATCTCTTGTCACTTTCTTTCTCGTTCCCTTTCTTAAAATGGGTTGCCGCAATGCTGCTGGCTGACGGTGGACGTTACATTTCAAACAAACCATCTAACACAAATTTACTCTAGACCTAACTGCGGGCCCTCAGGACCAGTGTGCCTGATACGACCCTTAGTTTAGTGGATCAAAAGTATGCTTTGTAATCCGAGGCCACAGGTTCGAGACTGCGTAGGGACCGTGCAGCCCTCGCAGTATTCCTAGCACACGCACGACTCGTGGTCTTTGCGCGGCAACGAAGCGTCGGTACTCTGTGTACTGGCATACTACCTGTCGTAGAACTCTGTCCTTCAGAAACAAACGGTTTATTCGACAAACAAACAGCGGAAAGGACAGTCTGACAAACATATAGGAACCTCGATATAAATCACTAAGTCATTTCCTCAACTAGCGACGCTGCTGCACTCGTAAGATTTTTCTTTTTAAAGCAGTTACACAAACCCGCTCCGGCGAACCAATCAGCACGTGGACGAAATATGCGCAAATGTGCGATCAACTGCTCAGTTCAGTTGCGGCAAGCTAGCAGCTTGCCTGCACAATCGTATCACACTACCGGTACCACTTCTCCATCAGTATGCCTCGCATACGTTTCACCTTTTCTACATACTTCTCACCTTTATCTTCGTTTTGTTACATGCTGTTATGACCTTCTGGGCTACCTGTACAGAATTTGTCGGGACTTGGCATCGAATTGTTTCACATTTCTTGCCGCTAACCTGATTTACTTTTCACTGCCTTCGATTACTCTCCTTATATAATGAATATATCGATGGTTGTATAGCAGCCTGCAGGTTCCCAAATCTTTTTCTTCTGGCTTATTGATATCTGCTATATATGCGTCTACCTCGCGTTGTGCATGTTGATGCCAACATAAGCTTTTTACTTATTACAATCTTTATCTAATACTTGAGAACACATTTCATTTTTTGTTGTTGTACTTTAGTCCATTTTTGGATAAATTACCAACATACTCGGGTTACTTCTCTCCAACTCCGTTGTTGATTACCTTGATTTCCCATTTTCCTGTCAACATCAGCATGGGCCGAAATAAGAAGTTCCCTCTGTGTTTCGCTCTATTGTGGCAGCCAAAGAATAGCGGTTTGCGATAACGATCGGTGTTTCTCACTTCAGACCGTACGGACAAACTTTTGCAATTGTCTGCAGTGATGCCCTCTTTCTCATCTGTGGTGGACACGCATTACATATATCTGCTCTCTCGAACGTTCGTCCTGTTTACAATGAACTACTTTCTGCACAGTGATCAGGTCGCATCAAGAGAACTCTCGGGTGATCTAGGAATATACATCATTACTATGAATAACGCTAAACGACAGCATTGTCGCAACGGAGGCTGTGAGATAATCAGACTTAATAACAACATTCGTTTCCGCAGTATTAAGTCACATGAAGGATTCCATCTGGACCAAAACTACTATTCTTCACCGTGTTCTCCTAGACTTGGTTTACAATCTGCCTGAAGTTCAGCGATATTATATATGATAACAATTCGTCGCTTTCCAAAGCTGCACTGAGTCGCATTTGTGTACAAAATTGTCGTGGGGGATTTTAGCACACAGAAGATCAATTGGGCAGATGGAACTGCGCCAGATACATTTCAAACGTTTCCTTCTTGCCCACTTCTTGGTGGGTAGCAGCAACAAATTCAGTCCCCTAGTAGAGGAGAAGGCTTACTACATTTAATTTTCACGTTGAATATTCCCCCAATTAGAATAATAGTAAAGGACTGTTTTCGTGAAATCAATCACCGAATGATCAAATATTACCTTCACTGGAAATTGGAACGTTTATGACATGGCAAAAGTTCTCGCGCGTTCGGTGTAGTTAACTGGGACACCTTTTCTGCCTTACTACGGTCTTTGAACTATATATATATATTTGCAAAAGTCTGCTAACAGACATAATGCCATCAGAAACCATGGGATTCAAACGAAAGTACAGAAACAGTACAATAAAACACAACACAACAATGTCCATGGTTTCCTCAGAGGGCGAGATACTACCCGGTTGCCCAAGCCGAAGTAGGGTGTTGACTTAGGGGACACCACCCCGAGCCTTTGGCTGAATAGCCTGCCCGCAAGGCAGCGGAGCGAATTCAGGGAATCGCGCCCATTGGGAGCCGGTGACTGATTGCTCAGTTCATACGCCTTTCGTTTGTTCCTTTGTCAAACAGGGGCCCAATGCTCCCCAGATGTACAGCATAAGGCTGCTGGAATACAATGCTTCGCCAGGTTGAAGCAAGGGGCAGTGACTTTATTTAGTGGCGAGTCACGTCCGCCACGTCACAGTGTTGTTAAACGGACATATGTGGCTTTTTATAGGGAGAACGCTTGCCAGGCGAAAACCCACCACGTCCTGGAACACTGCCGCCGAACCATTTGCTGGAACGGGAAAATCCCGAACCACCCAGCTGGCACCACGAGGAGGTTGTTCGGTCTTTGAACTGGGACGGATTCATTATGTCTTCAAGTCCAAAGGAACCGGCAAACTGGTTTTATCCCCTTTTTTACACAATGGACTAAGTGTCTCACCTACAGCTAGTGTATAATGATGATTACTATAACCGTACACAGGGCAAGGACTTTGATCCAAAAATTTATTGTGTAGGTGGTGGTGTACTGAATCTTTTAACATAGTAACGAAATAGTTTGCTCCTTGATTGTCGAGTATGCTGCTTAAATGTTCACATATTGGAAGACCATGGTTATAATGCCGCAACACCTAGGTAGGGTTTTATACAGTATTGAAAATCCTATGAACCATGCGCAACTTAACTTCGGGATAATGAGGAGAATGGTGAAAAACAGAACCATTGGCCAACCCTTGTAGGGAAAACTAATTGACAGGTTATACTGTGGGTTTATTAACTTTTGGTTCTGTATGGTCTGTCAAACTGTTTATATAACCGGGTTTTCTCCGGAATGTTACTTGCGGCTCAGAGTCGATTTGACTGACTGGTATCGACCGAACAATTCAAACGGCCATTTCTGTTCGATCGAAATTTTTGAACGAAAGTCACACTTTGGTCTAATTTTACATGAGCTGTTGTAGTCATCACCGGTCACTTTATTCTTCATGGAGTCAATATACTTGGGTGAAAACCCATTGTTTTTTTGACTCGGTGGGTCAATTTCCTGCTTGTTGGTACTCTCCCACCCGAGTTGTTATAGGCTTACGTCGGGCTGGATAATAGTTTTTGACGACAGTGGGATTAGCACATTAATCTGTGCGTTATGTCGACCGCTTTCAACGTTAGAAGTTCTGTTGCAGAAGCCCTCTGGCCAGTCAGTTGGACGCCAGTCTGTCAACAGCCTTGCGAATGGCACCACGGAGTCTACTTTTGATGCTGCCGCTATGGTCACTTTTAGGGCGTGTTTCAACCACTATCAAATGCTGTATCGCAGGAATTTTGCCAAACGGGAAGACTCTTGGTGTGTACGAGTTCTGGTACGGTGGCTTGGTCCAATACAAATTTCCCGCATCACGTAGCTCGAGTGAAACGGTGGGTGTCTTGTCTCTGATGACCACACCTCATTGTCCAATTTGCGATTTTATTTCACGAACCTGACTCTTAATGCCGTTGACGACATCGTTACATACGCTGACACTGTTAATTCAACGTATGAATGTTTCGATTTGTCATGGTAGATCAGTTGTAGTGACTTATTTTTATTCGTGATCTGACGTCACCTAAAGACAAAGAAGTTTATGTTCGATTACTGTACAAGTTATAGCAGAATAATGATCTCTCTATGCATTAATGCACCGGTGCATGTTTAAGCCTCATGAATGTGAAGCATGCTTCAGTTGGTTACGCCCAAGTCTCACTTACGGTTTTACACAGCTGACTCCAACCAACCTATCCCCTAGGTTCAACAAATTCTGGACCACACCAAAAGCCACCGTCTACCTACTGGTATTTCACAAGAACTTGCCTGTTGCAAAATCAAGTGTTCGAAATGCCCCAACATTGTTCACAAGGATATATTCTGTCCATTTAAACAGACACATATACCTAACACTTTTGAGAGGCGGTCCGGTTCCAAAACTGTCGGGAAATTGTTAGCCTATTTGGCAACCTTCTAAGTGGTTGTTGTATCTCAGAGACGATGTGTGTCTCAATATTAATGAGCATTCAGTTGGACCTCAGCTGCACAATGCCTCAGGTATCACTATAATCTCTTCCGGTTTGTTGAAGTCCATTGTCAGACTCCCCATTTAACGAACTTCCCATATCGCGGCAAGTGTTTGCGGCGACAGAGTCAGATCGATCGCCTAACTACAGTGTTCGGCTTCATTTCGGTCGTCACCCACCGACCTTGTTTGCTATGTCACATTCCAACCCGCGAACCTCCTGGGTCTGGGCTGGATTAACCATCTTGGTCTTGCAGCAATGCCTATTAACAATATTTCTATTATCATTTGGATCTTAGTGACCATTTCACCGTCTGCTAACCACTTCCTGTCTAGTGAGCTGCTCAAGCAATTCCCATACGTTTTTCGAAACGGCATTGGTTACTACTCCAATGCTTCTGTGCCACTGCAACTAAAACCTGACGCGTGACCAGTATTTCGCTCATGCAGCGTTACCCTTTGTAGGTGAAGAACTCAAATAGCTTCAAGACCTGAATATCATCGTTCCGGTAGATTACTCATCCGGTGCCGCACCCCTAGCTGTAGTGAAAAAGCTTAATGCATCCGATCCTATTTGTGCCGACTTTTTAACCGTACTTAATGATGGACTCAAGCTTCACTGGCACCCCTTACCTGCCTTGTAGGGCCTCTGCCCTCTTTAATGGTAGCGAATTCTTTGCAAAGTTGGGTCTAGAAAACGCATACCTTCATATCAAACTATCTGAAAATTCCGGATAACTGCTTATCTTTAAAACACATTGCCGTCTTTGTCAATACGTCAGACTGAAGACTACCCCGACCATTTTTCAGCAAATAATGGGCAACATGTTATTAGATCTGCCGGCATTGCGGCTTATTTTTGTGATATTGTCATAGTGGCTATTAGTGAAATTGTACTGAGAGACCGGATCGTTGAAGTTCTGCAATGGGCCTGTGAGTTCGAGGTTTTGTTTAGAATCCGGAAAGTGTCAATCATTTATGCACTCCGTCAAGTACCTAGGTTTTATTTTCAACGAAAGTCATCGCCTTTTGGATCCAATGATAATAGACGTCCGGTGCATGCTGAGACCCATGGATGTAACACCGCTTTGTTTATTTTTGGGGATAATCAGCTACTGAAGCGGATTTTTGCCAGCAACGCAGGACCTTCGTGCACCACTCAGTCAGTTATTAAAGAAGTATTCAACCTGACTTGGGTAATCTGATCCCGAGCGTGCTATATACAGCTGAAATCAGTGCTCACCGAATTATTTCTCACACATTCTAATCTTGCCCTTCTATTACCATCACAGCGGATGTATCCAACTACGGCATAGGTACTTTTATCTCCCACGCTTTCCCTGTTGAACTAGAAAGGCTATCATGCATGTCGCACTCCCAATTACACCTTTTAAAAAGTATTCCTAAGCTAAAACTGAAGCTTTGGTCATCGTTTTTGCTATTAACATGTTTAAAATATTCTTATGATTGTCGTTTCTCTGTTAACTAATCACAAGCGAATCCTTCCTGCATTTGGTCCCAGGAGGAGCATTCCGTTTGGCCACTACGCTGCTTGGTTAAGACTAGTCTGCTTCTCCGCCGCTCAGTAGATTTTGTTCAAATCGATGCTCTTCCTCACCTTATCAAGTAGTACCAATCTGGTGAGCAATTGCTTTCAATGATTCATCATCAGACCATTACAATCATATGGAGGCTGGAAAGAAAAATCGACCCAGTTAGTTCAAAACGAATAGATTACGTGCAAGTCTATGTCAGAGAAGAGAAAACGAATGAGGTCTTAGTGGGCGAGTTGTTTGCTACCGTGTCTGACCGAAGTCAGTCGACCTGGTCGTCTTCCGTCTTCGCTGGTCAGGGAATTTGGAGAGCCTGGACCAGCTTCTCCTATGAGCAAAAGGACGGCTGGAACAATCGAATGCATATTACTTCAGCTGTCGCAAGTGTACGAAGAAGCTCAATCAGTTCCTTAAGTTCCCCACTAAGCTTGCTGAAGCCAAATGTTGTGTTCTGTTCTTCATTGATTGCGTAGACCGTAATGAATATCCGACCAGATTTTGGAAGCAGTTACGCCGTGATAGGATCTGTCCCAATAGCAAGACCCTTAGACGATACGCATCAAATCAACGTGGTAGAGTGCAGTTC